TCTATCTATCTATCTATCTATCTATCTATCTATCTATCTATCTATCTCTCCATCTATCATTACACTCCTAGGTTGCCCAGGATTTTACATAGCTTAGAAAATGTTAACTGTGGGATTTGAACAGAGCACTGTTTCAATTATTCCAAACAGTATCCATAATGTGATGGAACACTGAGATGTAAACAACATCATCAACATGAGGAAAAAAAGAAACTGAGGCTTTTATGAAGTAAAACTGAGTGGGAATTCCCGCTTCAGCCCCAAGAACAGAGCTCATACTACCTATGACTTTTTAAGTATAAAAGTGAATAGGAATTAATGGACAGTTAACCTTGGTTGGGGATTGGAGGGAATGATTAAAAACTTGTGAAAGATATTGAAAAATACATTGAAAACCCCATATTTCAATGTAAAAAAATTGCAAAGCAAGTCATTGGTTGTATTGATGTTCAATAGCAAGTTTATTAAATTATTTTTAAAAATACAACAAAATAAACTCTGTAATTATTAACACTTAAGATGACTTTTGAGATTGCTTCCAACTCTAGGTCATGTGAAATGAATTTAAACACACAAAGTGCTATAACATTTCAGTCCCACTCTAATATTTGCGTGTATTTAGTTGAATGTTTCAGTAACAGTTGGTTTTGATCAGAGCAGCATCTAATGGAATTTAAAATCTGAGGCAGCAAGTCAACCTTCAATCTCCCCTACTCAATCCCCCCCAGAATGTCACTTGATACTCTTACCCACTCATTTTCCCATATACATTTCTGGGTTAGTCGATTCCAAGAATACACCCCTGGGTTTCTTCCTAGAATTGACAAGGTCACCACTTTAGGTCAGGCCCTCATCTTCTCTCACTTGGACCATTTTAGTCGCCTCCCAATTGGCCACCATACCTAATTCTTCCTCTTCCTAGTCCATGCTTCACACAGTTGCTAAAATTATTTTCCTGAAGCATTGTTCTTACCTCATGTGAGTAGTTAATAAACATCACTGATTCTCAATTGGCACTAAAATTAATCAATTAATGCATATTTATTAAGTGCCTTATATACTTTATTAGGTGTACAAGTAAAAAGAAAAAAAAATCCAATCTGTTCTCAAGGGGTTTATATTCTATCATCATTTTTTTCCAAGAATTACAAAATGTATTTTAAAAATCCCCAGCTTGGGAAATATAACAACAACAACAAGAATAATAACATCAACAACAGTAATCATGGATAGTGTTTATATGTGCTTTAAGGTTTGCAAGTGCTATATATAGGTTATTTCATTTGATTGTCATAATAATCTTATGAGGAGGGTGCTCTTATTATCCCCATTTTACAAATTTGGAAACTGAGGCTGAGAGAGGTTAAGTGACTTACACAGGGTCACATAGATAATACATGTCTCAGGTGGGATTTTAACTCAGTTCTTCTTGACTTTAAGTCCAACAGTCTATCCACTGTGCCACTTAGTTTCCTCATACATTTAATTCAGAAAGATTTAAACAGATTCAAAATTTTTAAAAAATCTTCTAAATTTTACCAATTTATTGAATCCAACTTTAATACTTGCTATCTCTGTGGAAAGGTCACTTTAACTCTCATCTCTGCAGTTTCCTTATCTGTTTGCTCCACATGTTTGTGACCTCAGTTCCTCAAAGATTGAGGACAATGATTTAGTAATCATGTCCACAGCTGCTTAGGGAACTTGTGATGTGTCTCATAGGTTTGTAGTGTTAACGGTGAAAAGAGAAATTAGATATAATCTATTCCAAACCTTTCATCTTATAGCTAAAGAAACTGAGACCAAAAGAGATGAGGTGACTTGTCCAAAGTCACACAGCTAGCTTTTAGGAGCATTAGGATTTGATGCTAGATAGTTGGCTTCAAATCCAGTGCTCTTTTCATGGTACAAATAATTCCTGCTAGGTAAATTCAATTCAATGAAGGCAGTCAGGACTTTATTACCATCCTCTCACTTTCCTTGAGTTTTAATTTTGTATTAACCAGCCTCTTTTTCTCAGGCTGATAGTCACTCTACTTTATATAGAAATTTGTCCAATGTTAATTTGTTCCTTGCAAAATGAACTTTTCTTTTTTTTTTTTAACTTTTTTTATTAATTTATTTTGATTTATCGATAATCACTTTGGTATGCTTTTGAGTTTAAAATTTTTCTCCCCCTTCCTCCCCACCACCCTCCCCAAGATGGCACATAATCTGATATAGGCTATACATTTACATTCATATTAAACATATTTTCACATTAGTGATGTCGTAAGTAGAAATTAAAACCAATAAAAGGAACCATCAGAAAGAGGAAACAAAACTCAACAGAAGAGAAAAAAATCAGCAATTCGGTTTCCATAGTTCTTTCTTTGGGTGTGGATTCTATCATCATTTATAAACTCCTTCAGGGCATTTAAAGCCCTGTTATATTTTATTTTTCTTCCTGCAATCTATGGTTCAGGGAAACTGGCTTTTTTCTTTTCTTAATCTATGAGACTTGATCTCTCCTGCTTTTGCATAGTCCCCTAGGCAAAGAATGTATTTCATCCACATCTTCATTTCTTTGAATCCCTAGATACCTTCAAAACTAATCTTAAATTGCCTTGTGTATATGAAGTTTTTTCCTGATACCTTCAGTTGCTAATACCGCTCTTCCCCCTACCCCAACACACACACAATTACACTGTGAAAGCCTGTGTCCCTTTCAGTCTTCAGCAAATTTGTACGTCTTAAGATAGGAGTGTGCTGGAGCTGGGTGCTACAGCTTCTGACAGCCATTTTGAACGTGAGCTTTAATGCCTCAGAAATTAGCAAACACTAGACATTTACTGGCTGTGTGACCTGGGCAAGTCATTTAACCCTGTTTGTTTCAGTTTCCTCATTTGTAAAATGATCTGGAGAAGGAAATGGCAAACCACTCCTGTATCTTTACAAGAAAACCCTAAATGGGGTCACAAAGAGTTGGACACTACTGAAAAATGACTGAATAAATTAGGGATTGATTTATTTTTTGCTGATTGTATAAACTTAATAAAGTGATGGATAAAAAGGTTAATAATGTAAATTAAATTCAAGAGCATGTCATTTGTGTCTATATATATTTATTTTTAATTTTTAATTTTTTGCAGTATCATAAGTTACAACCAAGGAATTGTAAGGCCACTGTCCTACTCAGACTATGTTTTCACCTATTATAGAATGAGCTACTTTCAGACATGAGTAATATTATTCTATGGTTTCTAATCACTATCAAAGATATGTTCTCTACTTTATCTGAAAGATTACATTCCATATACCCTGTACATGTGTATCTCATATGTGTGTAGTTATTTACAATATGTTATCTTTTTACAGTATGTTAGCCTTTTGGGGCTGGACAGTCTTTTGGACTTTGTATCCTCAGTTTTGAGTAAGGTCCCTGGCATGTAGCAAGCATACAAAATTGCTAATTGACTGACTGAAATAGCACAACAATCAAAATTGCAGCTGAGCCTAAAGCTGGGATTGCTCCTCACAGAACTTTTACACTATCTGCACTACCTAAAGTTTAAGGATCAGTCAGCAGTCCAGGAATTGTCCAGCCAAAGACCAGAGACCCTCAGCCCAAGTCTGGCAGAAGTCTCTTCAGTTCTGTTCCCAAAAGGTCTTGTCTCTGAGGCTTGAAACCTCTCAAGCATATAGATTCAGAGGTGAAGTTTAGCTTTTCCATTGGATCATTAACCATGGTTCTGATGTAGGTCCCCACAGTGGGACCATACTTGAACTTATAGTGGTAATTTCATATATTCCCATACTTTTTTCTCTATAAGTTTAGTCATATCCAAATAATAGCCTTTTGCAAAATATTCACCAAACAGCTTTGGCTTTCCTGGTTCCTTAGTTTTATTAAGCTCTAAAGTTTGCCTGGTGGTCCATGCAAATGAGTGACTAGGCAAAATGTGTAGAGGTCATTTCTGTTTGGGGAGAGGAATTCATTGTCTCTGCTGACCTTTTAGTATAAAAATGAGCTACTTAAAGTCTTACATACTTTCCAAAGCCTGAAATGATCCTCTCATATCTGGAAAAGGGCTTACTTTTTATGAAGCGCGAAGATAGTTTGGTACATGTAGTACCCTTACATTTCCTAGTCTATTAACTTTGCCCTTAAGACCTGCTCATATCCTGAAGACTGAAAGGAATACACCTTTGTACCTGTGTGCATATGTGTGTGTGTGTGTATGTGTGCACACATATATTTACCCACATATACATGTTAACTCTACTAGTAGTATAGAAGTTGGTTGAAGGCAAGAATTTA